CGGGGGGAGCTGCCCGCGCGGGAAGCGGCTCTCGGGGGGGCCGGGGCCGTTGATCCCGGCGAAATGGGGAACTAACTGGTCGGGCAGCTTGGACGAGCAGCGCTAACTCCCTCCCCACCCGGAGACCCTGAGGGGAGGGGCGCTCAGCCTGGCCCGGGGGCGGCAGAGGAGTCGCTGCTTCTGGTGTGAGAAGGGTTCCCTCCCCGATGGCTGCTGATTGAGCTTTTATTGGTTGGGTTAGGGGAAGGGATCCCTTTTCCGAAATGGGGAACTAACTGGTCGGGCAGCTTGGACGAGCAGCGCTAACTCCCTCCCCACCCGGAGACCCTGAGGGGAGGGGCGCTCAGCCTGGCCCGGGGGCGGCAGAGGAGTCGCTGCTTCTGGTGTGAGAAGGGTTCCCTCCCCGATGGCTGCTGATTGAGCTTTTATTGGTTGGGTTAGGGGAAGGGATCCCTTTTCCATGTCCTTGAACCCCACCTATAAATATGATCAGCGCCCCTGATGTGGTGGCTTTTACCAAAGAGGAAGAGTCTGAAGAGGAGGCCTACAATGAACCAGCCCTGCCTGAGGAATACTCTGTGCCGCTTTTCCCCTTTGCGAACCACGGTGCCAACCCCTGGTCCAAGTTTTCAGGCTCCAAGTTCACCAAGGACTTCATTCTCATCTCTGAGTTCTCAGAGCAAGTGGGCCCTCAGCCTTTGTTGACCATCCCGGATGATGCCAAAGTGTCTGGCACTTTTGATCTCAACTATTTTTCCCTCCGGATCATGTCTGTGGATTATCAGGCTTCCTTTGTGGGGCACCCACCTGGATGCGCCTACCCAAAGCTAAATTTTGTGGAGGATTCCAAAGTGGTGTTGGGAGATTCCAAGGAAGGGGCTTTTGCTTATGTGCACCATCTGACTCTCTATGACCTAGAAGCTAGAGGCTTTGTGAGGCCTTTCTGCATGGCGTACATTTCCACTGATGAGCACAAAATCATGCAGCAATTTCAGGAGCTCTCTACAGAGTTCTCCAAAGCATCAGAATGCTTAAAGACTGGTAATAGGAAAGCTTTTGCTAATGAACTTGAAAAGAAACTGAAAGACCTTGATTACACCAGGACAGTTCTGCACAATGAAACAGAGATACAGAAGAAAGCCAATGACAAAGGATTTTACACAACCCAGGCCATTGAAAAAGCCAATGAACTGGCTAGTGTTGAAAAGTCCATTATTGAGCATCAAGATCTTTTAAAGCAAATCAGGTCGTATCCTTATCGAAAACTGAAAGATTCTGATTTCCACCCATATGAGCCAGAGTGTGTAGTGGATCAAGCGAATACAATTTTTGATCAAGACTCTACTACCTCTAACCCTGCTGAGCCCAGTGAAATGCATCATCATGCACGGATGCCATCTTACACCCCTAAGCTCATCAAAGCCAAATCCGCCAAATGTTTTGACAAGAAGCTGAAAACCTTGGAGGAACTCTGTGATATTTATTTTTTCACCCAAACTCTTGATCAGCTAAATCAAATAGAAAAAATGTTTAGAGGTGATGTTTGCTACCTTTTGACAAATCAGATCAGTAAAGCACTTTTAAAGCAGCAAACTATAACTAACTTCCTTTTTGAAGATGTGTGTGTGTTAGATGAAAAACCCGAAAAACAGTATGGGGGTTGCCAGTTATCTAATCAAGACACTGTTAACACCAAGTGTTTGGAACAATTCTTGATTCCTAAAGTGTTAATCAGCATGGGGTCTTACAAGTCCAGTGTGGAGTCTGTACCTATCAAGATGGAGCAGGAAATTGAAGATTCCCAAGAACCAGAAGTGACAGAACCTATTGCTTTTGACCAGGAGAATTTGGAATATCTTGATGCAGACATTAAAGGGAGTATTAGTAGTGGTGAAAGCATTGAGGTTTTGGGAACAGAAAAGTCTGCTGCTGTTCTTACAAATTCAGAGAGCCAGGCAAGCTTGCCTATTCAGCCAAGTCCACAAATGATCAGGAGCAAGGCAGCTGGCAGAAGAACCATCAGCGAGGACAGCATTGAAGTCCTAAGCTTGTGTCCTTCAGAATCTTTGATCCCTGAAGATTTTAAAGCAAGCTACCCAAGTGCCATTAATGAAGAATCGTATGCAGATGATGAAGGTAGAGGTCCTTACCTCAGCCCACGTTTAAATCCAGCTAACGTTAAAGAGATGGAAGGCAATTCTGAAGAGGAGAAATTATTGCCAGTTGATTCTGCCTGTTGTATTGGCAAAGAGAATCCAAACTTTGTAGAGTCACTACCTGACCTTCCACAAAAACATTGTGATGATGATGATGGTGTGGTCAGTATTCCACCTCAGCCATACAGGCAGGTGGATCAGGGATTCCATGTGAACTTCTCAGACTGTTCTTCACATGATGTCTCAGGAGGACTCCTTTCATATGAGCTTGATCCACATTACTTAAGCAGTAGAGAGGCCAGTAAAATTAGCTTGGATGAATATTCAGACTCCACAAGCTACATGAGTAGTGCAGCATCCACGTGTTCGGATAGAACTTCTTCTCCTGCTCATCCTCTCAGTCACTTCAGTGAAAGGCACAGAAAAAAGGCTGGCCAGAATGCCTTAAAGTTCATTAGGCAGTATCCCTTTGCTCATCCTGCAATATATTCGCTGCTCAGTGGAAGGACACTAATAGTGCTGGGGGAAGATGAAGCAATGGTAAAGAAACTTGTGACTGCTCTCTCCATCTTTGTTCCTAATTGTGGGTTATTTGCCATGCCTGTGAACCATTGGATCACTTCCCCTTTGAATATCATGGATTTTCAGAAGTGGAAGCTGATTGGACTGCAGAGGTAAACTAACACATCTCCTTCAGATAGGTTCGTGGGCTTATTAATGTCACGAGGCCCAAGCAAATAGTTCCTTTTTTGAGACTTCTTAAATTTAAAAAGGAAGTATTGTAGGGGAATTGATAGTGGAAGCAACCCCTCCCCCTCTTTTTTGTTGGGCGGACCTTGCTGCTACACATTCTGCTTGTTAGCTGTACATGTGTGTCTGTGTATGGCAGTGGTCCCCAAACTTTGTTGCACCCTGCCCAGGGGCCAGGAGATGGGTCGTGGTCAGTGACTGGGAAATAGGGCCAGAGCAGAGCTCGTTGGCACTTTTCCTCCTCCCCTCTCTGGGAGTTAGCCAGGGCTCCCTCCCTGCCCCCTTCCCTCCCTGCCTCGCCCTCCTGAATGTTCCTCAGTGCGCCTCACAGTTTGGGGACCACTGGTGTAAGGGGTGGTATTTCTTCCAGTACTTTCCTTCTCTTTTAAAGTGTTAAACTTCCAAATCATTCTGCTGAGTGTTAGCTATTGGATTCCTGTTAGTCAGTTGGAAATCAATCGTACAGCAAAAATACCAAAGGCCCCCGTCCAGTAAAGCACTCAGACAAATGCATTGGCGCAGCAGTTTGCTGGAGCAGGTCATGATATTTCAAGGTGTTGCTTCTTATGTTGCCACCAGAGGCCTCAGAATCTCTTAGGCAGGAGTCTGCTTTTCTTACAGCTGAAGTTTGTCCTTGTTATATGGGCCTCTACATTTCCATTAAGTTTTTATTAAGGATTGTGCTTTTGATTAAATGAAAGGCTAGAACATCCTACCAACAACAATTGCTTAAGGGACAATGGCTTGTTTGTATCCATATATTAGCAACCTTGCAATTCAGGTGCTGGGAAGAGGTGCAAAAGTCTTGTTCTGAGCCCTGTGATAATGTGTGTAAACGCAGTGGAACATGTTTACGGTGCACAGAGTTTCACTCTAAAGTGGAGCAAAAGGCCCAAACTGCTCTGTGTGCTGAAGGTTCAAACTGCATTTGAGTTTATTGGGAAACTTCTGCTTTGGGTGAAGACATTCTTTGCAATAGCAATACTTAGAAGAGGGTTTCTCTGGTACTGTAAGATGGTTCTAAAATCTGATTATTCAGTTCTTAATACACAAGGTATTATTCTATTTGCTACTACATAAAAACCACCATCCAACAGAATCCATGTATATTGCATTTCGTAACTTTATAGGAGTAAGTGTTGTTGTAGAAAGTTTGTACTGTCTCACACTTACAGAGAGTATGTATAAAAGTTTATAGTAAGAGCTTAGGGTGTGTCTAGACTACAGAGTTTTGTCGACAAAAGTGGACTTTTGTCGACAAAACTATACCTGTGTCTGCACTGCCGCTGAGTTCTGTCGACATCGACAGAACTCAGCAGCTTAGTCGACGGCTGCAAACCTCATTCTACGAGGAATAACGCCTTTTGTCGACAGAGTTCTGTCCACAGAAGGCATTATTGCATCTACACTGTCCTTTGCGTCTACACTGTCATGTCGACAAAGCGGCTTGCTTTGTCGACAGAACTGGATGTAGTCTAGACGCTCTTTGTCGACAGAAGCTTTGTGGACAGTATCTGTCAACAGAACTTCTGTTGACAAAAGCCTGTAGTCTAGACATACCCTTCGTGTCAGTAACTTCCACTAGAAAAGGCAGCTTTTTGAGCATAAAAAAATCGAAATGCAGAAATCTGCCTAGTGTATTTGTGCTTTTTTTTTTTCTTTACCTAGAGGCTCTGAATTATTAAATCGTCTTGAAGAGTACATTTATTTATACATCCTTGTAAGTGAAAATGACAACTCTTCACCTGTGCTGCCAGTTATTACTATGCTCTGGCACTCGCATTTAGGCAGAGAGTAATATTGGGAGGGGAGGGGGGCCTACTACCCTTGTTACAGATCAGCAACTCTTTCCTCTTGTGTGAAGTTGTGGTGTGCCATTCCCAACAAGGAGATCTAGTCATGCAGAATTGGAAACACTGGGCAGAGTTTTCTTGAGGTTATGATTAAGGATGTAAAATAAAAGTATAATTGTTTAAACGGTTAACCGATAAGCGTGGGCTTATCAGTTACTGGTAACGATTATACATAGGCTCCTGCCCTGCTCCCACCCTGCACTGCTGGCTCTGATACAGAGCTAGCAGCACGAGGGGGGAAGCCAGCTCCCCAGGAGCAGGGCTGCGGGTGGGAGCCAGTGCGTGTCAGGAGCTGACTTGAAAGCCAGCTCCCAGCAAGCACTGGCTGCTGCCCCACGCTGTGGGTGCGTGTAACCACGTAACTGCTGAGATTTTCTGTGGTTACACAAGTTCCCACTTTTTAACATCCCTAGTTATGATTATCTCTGTTAAATCTCACAGACTTGTTAGGCTTTGTTTGGTGTCTGCATGTGATGAATATCATTTGACTTCATGTCTAGCAAGAAATGCCCAGACTCTGTAGTGGAACTCGCTTGTCTAAGGATTTGTTTACAAAAAGTTTTCTCCAAGCAGGGTTTCACCAACGTCAAAGCAACTACCAGCAAAAAAATTCTGGGGACATAGGCAGTTGTTGGAAAGGGGACCACTGAGGGCTGTTCCTTCACTTCCAGTGGAGAACAGTTGTAGCAATATTTGTGTCTATTCATCATACGCATACACCGCTTCCCCCCTCCCCCAGTGCATTTTTAGCAGGCTGGGCAATAGCCCGGCTCAGTCCTGGCTTGCACCAGGTCTGGGATGTCCCCCTGCTGCAGCTCTGTATTTAAAACTTATTAGGAGCCAAGCAGGCTGGCAGACAGCTTGGCTCAGTTCCAGCTTGCACCAGGATAAGAATTCATTAGGTTAATCGACTAATCAATTAACTGATATTCAACATCCCTACTCTACATTTGATCTCTGCTACTAAAGCCAAGTGACAAGTTTACTCGTAAAGATTATCACACTGTATTTTATTAAACCTTCCAATCTAGTTTGTAAAAACTTTGAGTCTTTGTGTCCGTGTTTCGCAGCTGTCCTTAGGATGCGATCTCTCTCTTCTCTTTTGCAGAATGGTTTCCCCTGCTGGTGTCAATATGTTGCATTCTTTGAGTCGATACAGCCGATACATCAGCATTCTGGATGTGGACAGTAAGACACTACGCTGTCCCCTTTATAAAGGAACCTTGGTGCCCAGGCTCGCTGATCACCGCACTCAGATCAAACGAGGAAGCACCTACTATATGCACGTCCAAAATATTCTGACTCAGCTGTGTTCTAAGGCCTTCTTGTACGCCTTTTGCCATCACTTGCACCTTCCCATCAACGAGACAGAAACAGAGGACTCGGTTGTGTCTCGCAGGAGGAACTTTCTGAAATTTCATCTAGGACTTGTGAATGAAGATGTGAAAGTGGTACAGTACCTAGCAGAGCTGCTGAAATTGCAGTACATTCAGGAACCCATCAGAGGCAGTAACCCTGTCCTCAGATTTGACTATGTTCCCAGCTTCTTGTACAAAATTTAATATCCTCTGGGCTGCCCTTCTGTGGATTCTCATTTTGATGCAGATCATCTGTGCTTGACTTTGCTGTTTACAAATATCAGATATATTGGGAATGATGCAAAACATTCAACATATTTGCAAGCACGAGTCAACTGGCTAGAAAACATGGTGTTGAAGGAACCTAATTTCTATGTGGTTCCCCACAGCTGAGAACTGCATGTGTTGTACCCCACTAAAAAAGCTCGAGATCTTAAAAAGATTGGCCACCCCATCTTTAGATGTTAAAGGGACACTGTCAACTTTTAAAAACCATGCCAAGAACATCATCACCATGTTCATGGCAGTGAGGGCAGGAGAAATCAGCTATCATTATGGGGTGACCTCTGATGAGTAATGTCCGATCCCCTCAGTACATGGTAACATGTACATTTAGTTAAAACTTTGCATTTGCCTGGTGGCATCAGCATTACTAGTGCATAGGCAGGAGTTAAATGTGAAGTATGGGCCCTATGGGTTTTGACTATTTTACACCCATGACAAAATACATTTGCCCAAGTTTGGGGGTGGGGAGGCGATATTGGCTTATTAAAGCTGTCAAGCATGGTGGAGGCTAAACATTACCTGCCCCCAGTAAATAGTTCACAGTGTCCCTTTGTGTTGTCTGTGCTCATTCATGGTTCATGGAATTGATTGTTGCTGAGCCTCTAAGCTAAAGATCGAAGCATGTATGTGTCTGTTGTCATCTCAGCTTTGCAGGAAGAAGAAAAGGTTTAAGAGCGTCCTGACTCTGAGGCTCCTCCTTCAGTGTGAATGTAGAGCACTGTGCCTTATTAATTTGCAGCATACTCATTGATGACCTGGGGATGGGGAAGCGACTTACAAGTCTTTAAATCTTGCGAAGGCTTTGCCGCACTGCTGTGGTGTAACCTTGAAGAGGATATGCTAAGTGAATAGCAAAAAGGGCACCTCTTGGTTACTCTGAGTTTAGAGAATAAATAATGCAACTCAGCTGAAACTGCTTGCAGAGGGAGAGATGGGGACAAGGCACCTCTTAAGGCAGGCACTCAGGAGAGATCTGGAATGAATGTACTGAATTAAACATTTTATCCTTGTAATTTTGGGTCGGGAGCTAGATGTGCATTGGATAGGAAAATGAGCGTAGGCTCAGCGGCACCAAGCACTGCTTCTAGCTCTGTCTCGCCATGCCATTTTATTTATTTATTTTTAATACCACGCCTTTGCAACTTCTCTACTACCTCTCCCACAGCGTCCAGTGGGTAGTTCTGGATGCTGCAGTACTGCACTTCACTGAGCCCATTGGTTGAATATTGAGAACTTTTCAAAGCTCCTCCCACATTGCAAACTGTGTCAGAACCTTCATATTGCCAGTAGAAGATGTGCGTTTTCTTCTGGTCAGTGTGGAAGGATTCATGCTCTGCTTTTGTCGTGCATCTTTTCCTTGCCCGAGAATCTCCGAGGAGATTACATATCATTCGTGGCCACCCCTTGGCTGGAGATTTCTACAGCACATCCAAGGCCAGTCCCAAAGTTGTTTTACATGAGAAAAGTTCTGGTGGAAACAATTATCTGGGTTTTCTTTCTTTTTAACACTGCTCTTGTCTGATTCGGGGTGGAAGCCATTACTAGAATAACTGAACTGTATATATTTTTAAACCTCTGTCTAATGTGATTGAGACATGCAGAAACTGAATGTAAATTTCTAACGTACCAGAGGAAGCTGCAATGCAGAGTGCTGGATTGGTTGGTGTATTTTAAATACCATTGAAACTTGAGGCGATAGCTGCACTATTATGTAACATGCACCCCAAACAAAGAGAGGCTCTCTGGAGAAACACTGCACTGTATGGTCCTAGTGTCCATACTGCTGTAATTCATCCTCCTCACAGAGAGAAATGTCTGAGACAGTACTGCAGCAGGCTAGGGGGAATCAATGAGGAGGTAAGACCGTTTTAAATGTTAGCATCACTACTGATGGCTTACAGTCAGACCAGGTCAAACAGGAAATGAGGAGGTACTACAGTCAGACCAGGTCAAACAGGAAATGAGGAGGTACTACAGGCTCACTACAGTCGGAGGTTGCTTGTAATTTGTAGCATGCCGTTGGGAGCCAGTGTAAAATAGCCTTTTGCTGAAGGGCTGAGCAGTGTGTGCATGTGTCATGTCAACTTTACATGTGTCTGTGCACAGTGCTGCAGAATTGTTTTCACATTTAAAAAGCATGTGTGAAGAACTTTTCCTTTTCAGATTCTAAATGTGACCGCCTGTGTGCAGCTGCTGCATGTGAACTGGGTCTGCTAGTAAAAGCTATTTTTGTGCTTATGTAAAAACAATATAATGTACTAGGTGACCAAAGTCACTGCTTGTTAATTTAAGGACATGTCTTAATAACCTTAAGCCTAAACAAGATTCCAATTAGAAAAAGAACAGCTGGGATCTTATTAGTAAGTGTACAATATAGATATGATTCAGTCTTAACCTCTCTGTCAATTAATGGACTGAAAATATATTAATCTCAAGACCTCATCTTTGTACTGTAAAATAATCTGATGCTAGTTGGGAGTGAGGAGGGTTAAAAACATACCCAAGTTCTTGGAGACCTTGATCTCTCCCTATCTGACAGAACAATGAAGCAGGACTGGTGAATGTTGCAGGATACAGTATTATGGGACTTTCTAATTACAGCAGCATTATTTGGGTTTTGTTTAATCAGACTCCTAAGTTGGTAAATGAAGATTCTAATTTTTCTCTGTGCAAAACTGCATTGGTATCTAGTATTCTGCAAGGTGGGATTAACCGCCAGCAGTTGTGCTTCTACCAATCTCTCTCCCCTGATTTACCTGCCCAATGCAGCTGTCAATTTCAGAATCTTCCCCTGCTTTGTGGGTGTACCCAGACCATCTGACCTGTTCCTTTTGCTCCTGATTGAGGAATTCCCCCATGCTACATGCAACTTTTATTTGCTTTAATGTTGAGCAAGCAGCACAGGTAAACAAAGTACAGGAAACAGAGGCTTAGCTTGCCTTGTAGCATGGAGACTGTTCCATGTAGCTAGGCACAGCTGGAATAGGTCTTGAACTTGAATTGCTAGATCTTTATTGCTTGTAATTCCTTTTTCCCGTTATCCACAGTGAGAGGGGAAAAACCTACACAAGGCTGAACTGGCAGATAGTGTTTGGAAAGTTGATGCAACTCTTAAAAGGTGCCTCACTTGATTGAAAGCTTTCAGAGTTGATTGTCTTACCATATTATAAGGATCCCTGTTTAGGCACTTTAAGACTTTACCTGGTCCTTAACCATATTGCCTCAATACCTTCTGCTATTAGGAACTATTAATTAATTGGGAGCTTAATACTAATGGTTCCTACTGCTGATATTGACACGTATGTTAATAACTGGTTTAAACTGGAATTGTTACTGCAAAGCCCAAGGGAAAACACTGGTACATGTCAAGTTTCAGCTGCATTTTTTAAACCTTAAGTGGCACTAGATCCTGTAGGGCTAATATTTGCTGCTGCTCATTACCAAATGAAGTCTCTCTATCGGAAAGGCCGAAGACCCAGTGTTGTATTGTGCTTCTGTAAATGCCACCAGCATGCACCCCATGACGCACTGCATGGCTGGCTGTAGTTCACATTTCCTCTTTGTGTTGTCTGTGTCAGGGAGATGTGGTTTGTAAGCCCCACATGAGAATTCATCAGAGCAAAGGTCTCCTGTGGCCTTCTGCTGACTGTCCTCTAGCTCCCTGTGTTTGACGCTGTTTTGTTGGCTTGCTCTCTTAAGCTAGCCTCGTGCTTTTTCAGAACCAACAATTAGGATGGTCAGCCATATGGAGGGAGGTGAAGTGAAGCCTCTACCAGTTCCATTTCTCAGAGGATAGTGCTCAGATTTACCTTAAGCCAGTAGTGATCATTTCTGAGCAGCTCAAAAGCTGTTTTGCCTTTAAACTATAATAGGGAAGTACTGCCTGTGCTCTAGCAATACAGGACATGTTTTAAGGGTTGGGGTTTGGAAGCCTGTAGGGCTAAGGGTTCTGCAGTGCATAATATTCTTGGTTTTTATTAGGCAGCAGAATCAAGGTGGTCCGAAAGCCTGACGGTACAAGCTACTGAGTGCCCGACTCACTTTCAGACTCCATGTCTGGGAGGTTTGGGCCCAAACGTATCGGTGGGGCTGCTTTGGGGTTAAAACACTTACAAAAAACCAACCATCCGAATGAACATCTAGAACCAGCATTACAACAGGAAGCTCAGTGAGCAGGAGAAGAGGTTGGTCCTAAAATACAGAGCTCTTGTTATCCACTCTTCTGGAAATCTAAGTACAGCATGGCTACGTCTACACTGCCCTCTCTTGCACAAAAAAGTGCAAATGAGGCAAAGGGTGGACTATTGCCACACCTCATTTGAATAATTAATTAGGCTCAGTTTTTGCACAAAAACCCACTCTTGAACAAGAGCCATTCTTCCACTTTTTTCCAGGAAGAATGGCTCTTGCCCAAGAGGGGGGGGTTTGTGCCAAAAGCCCCTTGCGCAAAATTGTGGCTTAAGTATGCAAATGAGGCAAGGCAATATTCACTGCTTTGACTCATTTGCATATTCTCTTGCGCAAGAGGGGGCAGGCGAGCCATAGCCCAAGTGAATAATGCTGTGTGAGGGCTAATGGCAGCATAGCTATGTTTCAGGGAGATGGGTTAGCTACAGCAATAGGACAACCCCAGCTGATGCTGTGCCTCTGGAGCATTTTAAGTGTGGATGTAGCCTTAGGCAGTACCAGATAAGAGACTGGACCACCAAGACATTTTGAAGTGAGAGCCTAGAACCTGCTACCAGAGCTTGAGAAATCATAAACCTACTATGTTCTGGTTGCTGAGAGATGCATTTTAACAAAGGCAGAAGCAGAGGCTATCTGGCCCCACTGCCTCTTGGGGAAGGATAGTTCAGTAGATTGATGGGGCTGGCTCAGAACTGCCTTTGAGGGCCATGAGTAGGCTGTGATGAATTCTCTTATTGTAAAGCACCGTATCTTCTGATTGCATGTCAAGTTCCTTGTCTGTACCTCTACAGGGCACCTGCATCAGTAGTTAGACTGAGTGTCACCTGGAAGAAACCCAAGCAGCATGTTGTAATTTGTAGTGATGTGGGTGTTGCTGCACAAGAGCTTCACAGATGTTAACACCAAATGAATAGTAGGAGAAATGTACTTTAAAAAAAATTATTTATTTGGGTTCAGATATTTTTGAAATACAGAAAAAAGTTGGTTGTATTTTTTAAAGCTTATTCTTGTCATACATTGTGGTTAAATTCTAATTTGACTGTGCTTATTAAAAATGGTCCTATACTTTGGGCTCAGATGTTTGAAAGAGTCTGCAGGTGCTGGCTTGAAATACTGGCATCTGAAACATTGATTAATAGGGAAAATCTGGGGTACGTGCTCTGGAGTTATCAAAGCACCAGAAAGTCTGTTTCTTTCGGTAGCTCAGAATTGCACCTGGACTAGTACGCTTGCCGCTCATGATTATAATGAAAACCTCCTAATCAGAGTTACTCTCCCATGGGGAGTGGCATTGTGGAAGGCTGAATGAGCTATTCTGAAACTAGCAAGACATGTTTGGAGGTAGTGAAGTGTGATACTTTCCTACTGCACCCTTTACATACAAAATGGGACTGCGTGTTAAGTGGCTTCCGAGGGAAATCTGATGATAAACACAAGCACAATTTGAGAATCTCTTTAAAATACGCATAAATCCCGGCTGAGGGCAATGCCAGTTCATGCAGTCCCTTAATCAGTCATTTGGAATCTGAGCAATTCTGTCTGTAATTGGACTTGAGTTACCCTGTTTGTCCTAGTTAAAAATGCAGTTGAGTATTAAAAATCAGTTGCCAATTTCAATCCTTAAAAAAGGGCTAAGTGCTGCACCATTCGTAGTTACTAGAAAAGGAACCGTTTCCTAAACGGAGGCTTACTCACCCCTTGGTCATGCCCATAAGTGGAGCAGCAGCCTACAGGGATAGCCGGGGGGAGAGAAGGGTAAAATAACTTTTTAAAAGCCATCTGCCTTGTGGGAACAAATCACGAAGAGGAGAGAGGATGTTAACAAGTGGGCGAGAGGGGATTGACATATTTCTCTCAGTTCCATTGGCTTGTCAGATGGCAACCGATGTTTTCCTAGTGGAAGAGAATGCACCGCAATCCCTGTTTGCTTCCAGAGTCCTGCTAGCGCTGGAGTTGGGTGCAGCTGCCTTGTTTTACAGGACAGGCAGGCCAGGCAGTGGGAAGGGAGTAGCGAAGGCCTCCACCTCCTCTTTGAGAGACTTGAGAGCCACTTGGTATTTCTCATCGCTCACCAGCCTCTCCTTGAATTCCTTCAGCGTTGCTTTGGGGCTCATGTCGTTCTGAATCCTCAGCGTCAGCTCTATCCCTGTGTGGGCGATATTAATGCTGCCAGAGTGTGGCTCAGGCTGACTAACGTTCCCTCCCTGGAGCCCACTTAACACAAACCTGGTAGCTGCACAGCTAGTGAATTCAACAGCACTCCCAGCCCCCACAAAGCTCTGCCAGCCCCGCCTCCATGCACCACACTGGTGGGCTTAAGCCACCTTCCCAAACTTTTTGGCATCACGCCCCCTTTTTTATTTTTGAGAAACTCTCCCCCCCCCCCCCCCCCCCCCCCCAAAAAATAGCAGTATAGCTGGGGGGGGATTGGGGGGGGGGGGGGCGGGAGACCTTTTTTATTTTTCACACCCCCCCCCCCCCCCCCCCTCCAATAGCAGCAAAACTTGAGGGGAAAAAAAGGGAACTGACCGGAGCCGAAAAACAAAAATAGCAGCAAAGCTTAGGGGGGAGGATTGACCAGGGGGAAGGAGGGGCTGGGTCGCCTCACGTCCTCCCTGGAATTTCTTCATGCCCCCCAATTTGGGAATCCATGCTCTAACAACTGGAGGAGGCTGGGCCTAGCTTGCATGGAGGCTACTGCTCTCAGCTCTTTCCACTACAGGGTGACAGAGGGAGCAGGTCTGTATGGCACAGCAGCCACCTTTAGTGCCAGTGTATTACAGGTCCCCCAGTAACCTCCTAGGCTGTGTTGCATGGGAGAGGGTCCTGGCGTTGTCCCAGGCCCTGCACCCCCTGGGGTGGGTGCTGCACCCAAGACTCGGTCCAGCTCAGCAGTTGCAGGAGGAGTTGGATTAGGCCTCTCTGCAGAAACCTTTGCTCTGTAAGCTGCTGGAGCCACCTCTCCAGCATTCTCAGCCAGGTGTGGCTGCCTCAGCCTTACCTTTGTGGATGAAGTGAGCTACTTTCTGAAAGTCTTGTTCCCGGAATCCCCTGGAGGTCAACGCTGGTGTCCCAAGCCTCAGGCCGCTGGGGCGCAAGGCACTCTTGTCACCTGTCGAAAGAGCTCACATTCAGGATGGCCATGCTCCCACAACCACCCTCGGAAGGTGCAAGCTTGACCCCAGGGCCAGGATGTAGTTTCACAGGTTGCAGCCTGCTGCAGGGAAACATCCGGAGAGCTGGGGTTACTCAGGATCCCTGGGAAACGGGGCCATTTGCTGGGTGCCAAAATATGGATTTTAGGAGCCTTGCCTTTAGGCTTGCAGATCTGAGGGTCTTGGCTACAAGTGAGCTGGGAGGAACAGTGGCAGCCCCTATGGGTTGGGCCACACCAATGTAATAGACATCTGTGTTGTTTACCTGTTCCCATAATGTAAGAACGAGGGGCCACCAAATGAAATAAATGGGCAGCAGGTTTAAAACAAATCAAAGGAAGTTTTTCTTCACTCAGCGCACAGTCAACTTGTGGAACTCCTTGCCTGAGGAGGCTGTGAAGGCTAGAACTAGACCAGGGTTTAAAAGAGAACTAGATACATTCATGGAGGTTAAGTCCATTAATGGCTATTAACCAGGATGGGTAAGGAATGGTGTCCCTCACCTCTATTTGTCAGAGGGTGGAGATGGATGGCAGGAGAGAGACATCGTTTGATCATTACCTGTTTGGTTAACCCCCTCTGGGGCACCTGGCATCGGCCTCTGTCAGCAGACAGGATACTGGGCTGGATGGACCTTTGGTCTGACCCAGTGTGGCCATTCTTGTGTGTCATTTCTGTGTACCCAGCTGTGTGCTCACACTCCTTTGGACTGGAATCATTTTGGAGGGGGGGCTCCATCTCAGAGCTCTCTAGGTTGGTTTGAGGTTTTCCCCATGTGCCTCTGTCATAAAGAGGCCACATGGTAAAACAGAAAAGCGACTAGCCTCTAAGTTAACAGCCTGAAGACTTGGCCATGGAGCAGCAACCCCAACGACTGCCTGGAAGCAATGGAGAGGAGGTTACACTAATGGTCGCTAGAAAGAACGAGCCACATCTGATCCGCCAGCGCCAGTTTCCTTTCAGCTGCAGTGTACATCAGTGCTTAGAAGGAAAGGAGGTGCAGCCAGCACTCCCCATCCTCTGGTCACTGTCCCCCATGCTCCCAGCTGATAACGTCTCCCGCTGGCAAGGCATGAGGGGAGTTTCCCTGCTGCGTTCTAGAATTCGCTTTCAGTGGCAGGGATGCTGGGAGTGACGCTTGGCCCTGCTTCCATAGATCCTTTCATCTGACAGCACTATAGACAGGCAGCTCCAGCATGGAAATGCAGCCACTTCGGGGGTGGAGCGTAGTGCAGTGCAGTGGAGGAGAGGGAGAATTTGAGTTAAGGACTGTAGGCAAAGTAGTAATCTAGCAGGAATATTTGTCTGTGGAGGAGCTAGACTTGTGCTGCTTTCATGGCTCTTTCCTCCCCCCCAAAGGCACACGCACCAAAGCCCTTAGCAGAGGCCCTGCATAAGCCCTGCAGGGTGTAACACTTAGGTTCGAGTGTTTCCAAGTTCACAAGGCCGAGAAGACCGGAGCTGAACTCAGCTCCCTGATGGGGCTCCGCGTTTGGAAGGGTGGCACGGGGGATGCTCGAAGCACAGACTAAAGGCAGCAACGTGACACTGTCTCCTGCAGTAACATTTCAGGGTAAATCTACCTGCCGGGCTCACGAGAGAGCAAGCCACAAGTCAGAACCCCACGCCACAGAGAGGTAAGGGGTTAATACAAGGGAAGTCTTAACCCTTCCACTCCCTGACTGGTGACTACCTAGGAGCAGGTTAGACGAACATGGTCAGGGATGGTCTAAATCGGGGTGGGCAAAAACCACTCAGTGGGCCAAATCTGGTCACCTAGGGCTTTGATCTGGCCCACACAGCTGTTCCAGGCCCTGCCCCTTAGCACGTTGCCTGGGAGCCATGCGAGCCCTTTCAACTGCTTCTATTTAAAGGGCTCGTGCCTGTCAGGCCACAGCCCCAGGGACGGCGTGAGCCCTTGAACAGAAGCAGTCGAAAGAGCTCCCGTGTCCCCAGCTCCCAGGCACTGTAGCCAGACAGACCAACACCCCATCTCATCGATCTTATTTGCCTTCCTGAAGCATACAGGACAGAGAAGGAGCAATAATATCAGCATAGTCTATGCTGGCTCATCTGATCCTGAGAAGCTGAAAAAAAAAACAAATATGTGGAGAGAGAGCGATTAAGTCAACAAGCTGGCCTCAAGGCTGTGAGAACTGCCCCCGGCTGGCACCTATGTTGATTCGAACACACACACAGTCCCTGGGAGAGGAATTTCCCACTGAGAAAAGAATCCCCAGTACTTCCAATTTAGTTCTCTCTCTTACAAGTGTAAATTAAGTTCACAACTCCCTTGTAAGAACTGGTCTCACAAAAGACAGACCCAGTACTTCCAATTTAATCATCTCAATTCTCTCTTACAAGTGTAAATTAAGTTCACAACTCCCTTGTAAGAACTGGTCTCACAGCAGACAGACCAGCACCAATTGGCATTACAGATAAGAAAGAGAAATACGTGACCTCATGATTATAAAAGATGGGCCCAGCACACACTCACTTTGAGTGTCATTCTACCCTCTACCTGCTGGTCGGGTTAGGTGTTTGACCTCCCGAGGTTCTATGGGGACGCCCACCTCGTATTTTCGTCTTTCCTAGGAATTGAGGGACCGGCCCTGGCCTGACATGCTGGAGTCGAGAGGCACAGAAGGGGGTAAAAATGGTACCTGGATGTGGTCCTCTGTCTTAAGTGTACACATAGAAAGAGTAAGCTGTTACTTGGTACCATTATTTCTATTTTTCTATCTTTATCTTCTTTGTAACCATTTTTAAGATCTATATTTTGCTAGTAGTTAAGAAATAGAACAATAGCCATTGCAACCATATGATTTATAAGCTTCCTCAAATAAACCTGTAACTGTTTAAGTTTTAACCTGACTCCTTCAGTTGCTGTAATAGAACCAAGCACAATTTAAAAGAACTTCAGCCAGTCATAAAGGGACAGATATAGGGAGCCCTGACCGTCGGCTGACAGGCACCCCGCTAGCTGCGAGGCCAGGAGCCCTTTAAATAGCAGGCGTTGAAAGGGCTCTCTGCTCCCGGCTAACGTGATGCCTGGGAGCTGCAGGGGAGGCGTGAGCCCTTTCAACGCCTGCTATTTAAAGGCCCTGCCCCTTCCGGGGCAGCCTGAAACCACTTCACAAATTGGTGCTGGGTCCTGCCGTGAGGGCAGGGGATGGGACTGGCTGACCTCTTGCGGTCCCTTCCAGTTCTAGTGCTCTATGAATGGAAGAGGTGGAACAAATATTCCCAGGTGCTGCCCTTGCTGGCTCTCTAAGCCACATGCCTGTTTTCAGTCCTTCACTACCGGAAACTGTCGACTTGACAGACTTTCCTCCTTCTGGGGCCCTGCCCCAGCGCAGAGCTCTCTCTCACCTTTGAGGGAAGGCTTCTCAAGTAAGAACAAGTGTGTCTGGCTCGACCCCAGCCTCTTACTTGCAAAAGTCTTTTTCTCTCACTGATTAAGAACATCAATGGCCAGACTGGGTCAGACCAAAGGTCCATCTAGCCCAGTGTCCTGTCTGCCAACAGTGGGCAATACCAGATGCCTCAGAAGGAGGGAACACAACAAGTAATCATCGCGTGATCCCTCTCCTGTCACCCATTTCCCGACAAACAGAGGCTATGACACCATTCCTACCCATCCTGGCTAACAGCCATTAAGGGACCTATCCTCCATGAATCTCTCTAGCTTCTTTTTGAACCCTGTTAAACCCTAGTCTTCCCAGCACTGAAGCAGTTCTAGATGTGGCCACAAGGGGGCCTAGCCCAGTTTGCTGAGCTGGGAACATTGGTGGCCCAAACCCTCAGATCTGCCACCCTAAAGATAAGGCTCCTAAACCCAGATTTTGGCACTTAGCCAAGTGGTCCAGTTTCCCCAGGGATCCTGAGCAACCTCAACTCTTTGGGTTCTGTGTGAAGCTGTGACCCCGGCTAAGCATTCCACGGAGAGTGGGCCCCTCACCAGGGCAGGTGTTCTTGTTACAGGCAATGGCACAGACTTCCAGCACCCGCTCGGCTCTCCCGCCGTCTGTCCCTCTGTTGCGCAGGTCCACGAGGATCAAGTGGTTGTCCGAGCCACCTGGGAGACGAATACAAGGATGGGAAATGGATTCAGCCACGGGTGGCGGAGGTCAGAGGGCTGGGATATTGGAGATTAAACACATGGGCTCGGTCCAACTCCCATGGGAAGTGGCAGGGGGCAAGAGCCATCTGCGAGGGGGTGGGGAAGTGCCAGCAAAGGCAGGCCTGGGAGGATAGGAGCTATCCAGAGTAAAGGAAACAGGCCCACTAGCTAAAGCATCCCTTGTGCTTGAGGCTCACTGCTGTGTCTATGGCTAGGGCTGTACCAACGTACTGGACGTCTGTATCATTTCTGTGCACCGAGTCTTGTGCTCAAACTCCCTGCACGGGGGCCACAGGACAATCTTGAAATTGCATCCTAACAGGCTGTTACAACAGAGCCCTGGGCCTTTCTGTAACCATGGCAACCCAGGCTGAGCGGCAAGCAGTGGCCCCAGGCATCAGGAGCAGCCTTGCTCACAGCAGGCACTGCCGGGGGTACCTAGCGGTTGTCCTTACCAGTGACGACGTGGTAGCCCATGTCCATCATGGCTGCAGACAAGGCCTTGCAGTTTGCGACTATCTGCTGCTGATAGGCTTTGAATTCTGGGGTCATGGCTTGCTTCAAAGTGACAGCGATTCCTGGCAGAAAGGCCAAGTGTTAGGACTCCCTTGGGACGCGAACCCCAGGCATGAAGAAGCTTGGCAGTGACCCAGAACACTGACCACGCAACCCCAGCCTGGCAAGCTGAGGAACCATCCCCCGCAAACCAGAAATCAAGGACGCAGCGTCGCATTGGCCCAGAGTGGCTCTTCGCTACACAAAGCGCCTACTGGCTGTCTTCCACTACACAGGGCCAAAATCTTACGAACGGACCCCTGGTGGTCTGGCGGATCAGAGTCACAGGCCCGCTGCAGGGCGAGATTTCAGATTTCTCCAGCACAGTGGCCAGATGGTGCAACTGTAGCTGTGTCTTTCATTGGTGCCTTTCCCCTACTTTGGCCCTGAATAGCAAGGCCTGGATCGGGACTTTGGCCATTGCAGGAAAATCACCTGCTAGCTATTTCTATTGAGAGGGCGAGGAATGTGGGAATCCCACAGGAAAAAGGCTCTTCTCGCTGATCGGCCAGAGGGACTCAGCCAGGGAGAAGGGTTCCAGCCAGAGGATGATGCTCTGCTATCCTTCAGTGCTGGCCATCAGAGGACCTCAAAGCGCACTGCACACTGACTCTGAGTTGTAGGGCCATTGTACAGCTGAGGAGAAGAGACAGAGAGGAATCTGACCCAGGAAGCAAGGGCACTTGGCTCCCAATCTATGCTAGGGCCTGCCTATGAAAGCAAGGTCAGCTCTTGACCTTCACATCCCCATATGCAGCCAGCAGCCTTGGTTGCCTTTGGTTCTGGAGTTCTAGATCCCATGTGGTGCAAGATAAGAGGAGCTACAAGAGACAAGCAGAATATTCGGCGGCGGGGGATAAGGACCCTTAACCTCTCTTGCCTGGTGCTGGGTGGCTGCAAACTCATTCTTAACACCCCTTGTCCGTGAGACCCTGCGCTTGGCCCTGCCTCCCTCCTGTGCGGAGCCAAACATCCCTTTAGGCATCAGCTGCAAAGGGGCACTGCTGAGTAGTAAGTGCTTTTTCTCCTGCTTCACGCCCTGCGACCTTGGCTGGAACTAGACACCCCTCCGCCCTCGGTGTGGCATGCAGGGCGTGGCCCGATAGGGCGCCTACCTGCGATGGCATGGTTGTGGGGCCCTCCCTGAAGTCCTGGGAAGACGGCTTGGTTGATGAGGCTTTCCAGGTTGTATGGAATTTCCTTGCCAGTCTTGGGATCCACGCTGCGAGCTCCTAGACAGACGGATGGGGGAGATGGTGACTACAGCTCACTCCTGGTTCTTCCCCTCCTGTGTTCTACACCCGGGTGGGCGTAGATGGGTTTCCTCTCTAACCCTGGAGTGGCTGGAGTCAGGACGTCACCACGCTCCCCCCCAGCGGTGTGCTTGGGGCTGTGCAGAGCCCACTCCGGCCTGTGGAACTTGCAAATGCAAAGCACACTGGGACACACAGGCACCAGCTCCGTGCGGAGTGGGAGTGGGAGAGAGGGCTAAGCAGCAGAGAGCAAAGGCAGGGTCTGACTGAGGGAGGATTGAATGTGTAACCTTGTGTGCTGCTCTGTCCCCGTGAAAGGGGGGCCCGGCCACTGCCAGAAGATGAGCCTGCTGTAGCTTTGCCACACAAAGAAAGATCTTTTAGCTCGGGCAGCAGAGGCTTCAAATCCACAGCCCCCAACTCAATCCCTGCGGCCTGACCCAGGTGTGTACAGGGCACTGAGCTGGGCCAGGCTGGGAGTGCCAGGCCGGGGCAGCATGGAGACCACAAGGAATGGCAAAGCCAAGAAGGGAGAGGAAAGCGAGCAGAGGCAGAAGCCCAGCTGAGCAGAGCCAAGGAAGCCAGACTGAGCCGCTCCGCAACAAGGTAATGATTAACCTGGGCTGCTCCACCAGGGGCCATCAATAACCGCACACAGCCTGGGCCTCGGTTAAATCCTATCGACCATGGGGCGGCTCCCGCAGAGGAGGAATGCTGAGGAATTGTTCCAGGCAGGCTTCGTGGGAAGCGTGTTCCCTACCGAATCACCCACCCCACTCCCTCTAACTCCTAGTGCATCCTTGGCCATCTGCCACCTGCATTTCTCCCCCAGCCTGTCCTGGGGATCAATACTCCCATGAGAAGGACAAGCCCTTTTTACCCTTCTCTGCCAACTTTGTTTCCACAGCTTCCGCCAGCCAGAGGGAGGATGGACCAGCCACGGCGCCTGCCCCGCCAGCAGCCCAAAGGTCTCACTGGCCCACCCAGCCCAACCGTGTCGCATTTCACCCTCGGCTTCTCCGTGGACCAGACCTTTCCGATAGAAGATCATGCCGGCCCTGCAGCCTCGCAGCGTCTTGTGAGTTGTGGTCGACACCACGTCACAGTGTTCAAATGGCGACGGCACCACCCCGGCTGCCACCAGCCCGCTGATGTGAGCCATGTCAGCCAGGAGATAAGCCCCGTTCTCATCCGCGATCTTCCTCATGCGGGAGTAGTCCAGGTTACGCGAGTAGCAGCTGACGCCTAGGTCGGGAGAAAACACCAGCCTCAGGGTAGGTCTGGGCTGTGATTGATGCTCAGGTGTGGCTGCATGAGCTGCAATAGTGTAGCCACGGCAGCATGGGCCATACACCCCACCCAAAGGCTGAGTGAGTAAGTCCAGTGGCTAGCTCACGCACAAGGCTGGGCCACAGTTGCTTCGGTATCTGAGGAAGCTAGAGTGAAGCACCCCATGACTGCACCACACACCCTCAGCAAAAAGGCTGCTGCATAGCGAGATGCTTGCTCGGACCTGCAACAAAGCTCCGCTAGCACACGACCACAGGGAGGGAATATGTCCAAGTCTAGGAACTAGGCCGTGGGAGGGGCCCAGGACTTGGCTGCAAGAAGCCAAGTGGCAGGACGAGCCCTACTGCCCCACAGGGAGAGGCAGACACCTGGTCCAAGCCACTGAAGTTGTACGTGCTGAACGACATCCTCCCACCCTATATCTTTTAGCTCACTGAGCCAAACCAGCATGTCTCCTCACCCCTGCAAGCCTGACGACAGGAGGAAAGGAGTGAGTCATGCACTGAACGGATGACTCCTAGCCCCTCCTCTCACTACACTGCTCCCCCACGAAGCCACCGCAGCACCAGCACAGAGGCGGCTCAGAACACGTCAGGATGCTGCGGGGTTGCTGAAATTCACCACGCTGCTCTCAAGTGTCCAGCCAGCGACTAAGCCCTGTGGCTGGGATTTTTCAATAGTCTAGACCAGAGAAAAGGATTTTTACAAGATTCTACCTGCTGCCCTGAGCCTCCGACAGCTGCTTTGCCTTTTCAGCCACTTACCAGCAATGATCAGCTTTGGGTGGAATAAGAGGGCGTTCTCCTCCAGCCGGTCGTAGTCGATATAGCCAGTGGTGGGATTGACCTGGCAAGCGAGCAGCAAGAGGAGACAGGAAGGGTAAGCACGGTGCTCCTCTGGCCTTGGAGATGGCAACATCTCGCTCTGGGCCGTGCTGATCAGCGAGCAGCACAGCTATGCCCAGCTCCCCCCGGAGCCCTCACAGTGCAGAGCCAACGGAGTTAAAGGGTGAATGAAAGAGGTTCCAAGAGGAGTCTGCAGAGCAGACAGCGTGTGTTCCCTGCTCCCTGGGTTCACTGAAAAGAACTTCCTGTGCAACTCTTTGCACAGCCATGCTCTGATGATCTCCCTGGCATCCTCCATTAAAGACCCACTGATTGAGTCAGCTGTTAGACCCCATGACTTCACAGGGCAAATTATTAGCATGGAGAAACTGGCTGCCATCTGTTCTCTGGGAACACAGAGCCCAACGTCCGTCATTAATAGCCTAGGGTCACACTGAACAGGAACAAAATGGGCATTCAGTAGCAGGCCAAAACTCACACTCGCAAGAGAACTGGCCATGATTAATAAGGAAGAGCCTTTAGAGAGAGTGGGTCAAAGATGTTAACATGGTCAGGGAACCAACCTGGGCAAGATGTAAATATCCCTGTGCCCATTTGACAGACCAGGAAAGTGAGGCACAAGTGATTAATCAGTGGTGGAGCTGGCAGTAAAAGCCAGCTCTCTCAAGTCCCAGGCAGATGCTCAGCTCACACGTCTCTGATTAGAACGTGAATGAGAATGCAGCATGATCCTGGCTAATTCATATTGCCGTCCAGGTGAATGCTAGCTTCATTGGGGGCTCCGACTGTGCAAAATAACCCTGCAGTTGTTCCTAGCGAGGATCCAACTTGCTGAGAAAGCTACTGGGAAGTTGGGCAACTGCAGCAGAAGTTTTCACCCATGAGAGCTGGGTTCCCAGGACACACTCAAGCTTAACCCACCCATCACGTTTGGCTCAGGTTTTATTCCACTTCCCCTTTGGGACAATGGCACCGGAGACACTGCCGGCTTCCTTCCTCCAGCTGCAGCCCAGGGACGCGTCCGGGAGTATGCAGAGCCTGCACACTCAGGGCTTGCCATCAGGGCTCTGGAGAGACAACTAGGGGGTTTCGGCTCTGATCCTAGGACTGCTGGAGCTAACAGGACACCTCCCCCACCTTCATTGGCCTTGGATCACACCCTGAGTGTTCATGCTGGGGCCCATTAGCCTCAGGAAGACTATTTAACCCTTTGGCATCCCCCGTCCTAGCACACCCTCCTGCTTAACACGGAACACGCTAAAGAGTCCCTGCTCCCAAGGCCAGGGCATGAAGTCAGGGTGAGTAGTCTGCATGGAAGAGGTGACAATCGCTGGCCTCCACCGCTCTCCCTGCAGCCAGGTGGGACCCCCTCACCTTGTAGGGCATGGATTCAAAGAAGATCGAGGTGGCTGAGATTTTCTTCTTATTGGTCATGAAGCCGTGCGTCAGGTGCCCCCCGTCAGGCAAGTCCAGACCCATGATCCTGCCATGGGGCTCCACCAGGGCCGTGTACACCGCAAAGTTAGCCGGGGAGCCTGCAACGAAAGGCAGGCTCTTGGTACCGCTGCTCTGTGGTATGGGGAGGGGAGATTGGGTATGTGGCCTTGGGAAGGGGTTTTAAAGCAACCCCCTCTGTGGGGCACCCACCTCCCTGCTTGTACCCAGTCCATGAAGAGGAGGCTGAGTTGCGGAAGGCAGGGGTCCCAGTGGCTCAGCAATTGCCAAGGCCATTCCCGTTCCCCTGTCTCAGGGGAGAAGCTAGGTCCTGTTACCTGAGTATGGCTGGACATTGACCCCCCATGTCTGTGGGTCCAGCCCGTAAACTTCCAGTGCTCTCTTCTGGCAGAGGAGCTCCAGCTCGTCCACAAACTCCGTCCCACCGTAGTATCTGACCGACGAGAAGAGCAGGTGTTTCACCATGTCTGTGGTGTCTCATGGTTCCATCCCCATGGTTCCATCTGCCACGGGCCAATGCCGGTGGCAGAGTACGAGCTAACAGGACACCTCTTTCCCCCTCCCCCCGGGCAGGATCTGACCTGTTACTCCACAAGCTCGGAAGCGACGGCCCTAGCAGTAACGTAGGGAAGCTACAGGGCAATGGCCCGTGTGGGACTCATGTCGCAAGGAGCAAAAGGAGTGAAGTGTGGGGCGTCTGCTACTGCTTTGGGAAAGGACCAATTTACAACCAGTGACAGTCATAACAGAGCAGCAATCGCTCCCTCCCAGACAATGATCTGAGCAAAGGGGGGCTTGGGCTCCCTTTGGACGTGAACCCCCCGTTCCATACCTCTGTCCCGGGTACCCCTCCGAGTATTTATTGTTCATGCAGGAGCCTAGAGCCTCCAGAACCGCTCGGCTGGCAAAATTCTCAGACGCAATCAGCTCCAACCCAACCCTCTGACGCCGCTTCTCTTTCTTGATGAGGTCATACACCTGGGAGGGAGAAGCCCCATCCTTATCAGCTCCGTACAGAGCACTGGATGCTGGCAGGTACTCTCTCTAAGGCAAATAGCGACAGCCAGTAGAATGGAAAGATACAGAGACATCCCGACCTGAACAAAGGAGGCAAGAACCCTTCTCTTCTGGTTCTGTACCTGAAACACTCAGTTCTGGTGTTGTTCTACCAGACGGATACTGACAAATTGGGGGGCGTTCAGAGAAGAGCAAGGAGAGAGCTGAGGCAGGAGGCACTAAAACACGGCAGCTAAACAGAGCTTCACCAAGGCCATGCCTACGCTATGCAGAAGATCAATGTTGCCGCGGTCGATCTTCCAAGGTTTGATTTAGCTGGGTTAGTGAAGACACGCTAAATTGAATTCAGTGGGCGCCCCCATCAACTCCTGCCTTGTACGAAGAGTAAAGGAAACTCATGGGAGTGCTCGCTCCCGGTAGCCTCCGGTTGTGTGGACAGCGTGGAAACTCAATTTAAGATACGTCGACTCCAGCTACGTAATTAACGTAGCTGGAGTTGCATATCTTAATTCGACCTTCTGCTGTAGCGTAGACCAGGCCAAAAGGAATAGACATAGGGGGGACAAAAATCCACAAATACTGGAAAGCTGTAAATACTCAGGATGGGGCAGAGCCGTCTAGGGCAGTGCTAGGGGTAATAAGCTAGGCCTAAGGACCAATTAGTCCGCGTGGTAGAAGACATTTCCCAAAAGCGAACCATTGGAGGAACATTTGCAAGGTACCACCGCAGTGGAAACTGGCTGGAAGAAAGAAACCAAACATCGTAACAGATCTAAATTTGTAATGTCTATAGAGCACCTATTCTCATTTGCTTCACTGCCATGTAATCCTCTGCTAGATCAGGGGTCGGCAACCTTTCAAAGAAGAGGAACCATTTTTTTTTTTTAACCAAAATACGATCGGAACTGCAACACACACACACACACACACACACCAGTGTATGTGTACTAGTAAAAAGACAGCAGCTACACAGCAGCTGACAAACCAATTCTGACCTGTATACACAAAATAGGTGATGGAATAAACTGGTCTCTGGGAGGGAGTTTGGTGCAGGGAATTGGAGTGCAGGAAGGGGTGAGGGGTATGGACTGTAGGAGGGACTTTGGGTGCAGGAGGAGGTGCAGGCTCTGGTTGGGAGGCAGTTACCACAGACAGCTTCCAGACAGCAGCATAGCCATTCTTGGAAGTGGCTGGCTGCTGCTGTCATGTCTCCGAATGCCCCTTTGGTGGAGTGGGGCAGTGGGTTTCGGTGCACTGCCAGTGCTCAAAGGCGCTGCCCCACGGCTCCCAGTGTCCGGGAACCAGCCAATGGAAGCTGTGAGGACAGTGCTGGGGACAGGGCAGCACATAAGCCACTGCCACCCCTCCTGCCAGAGAGGGGCAGAGATGTGTGGGCTGCTTCTGGGAGCAGCACAGGGCCACCGCAAGCAGGCAGCCTGCCTGAGCCCTGCTGCGCCATTGGACTTTTAGTAGCCCGCAGACTGCAGAGGCTCCAGGATCAACCAGTCGATGGTGATCAATGGATTGGTGACCACCGTTTCAGCATGAAAAGAAGCGAATAAAGTAAATTCTTTGTTTTTTAAATGACTTCTCACACAGAGGCAGCCAGAGAGCTGCAGTTTGCCAACCCTCCAACCCCCATGTAAGATGCCAGGGACACGATTTGGCTCATTTCCATGTAGATACTGTAATATCAGATCCCACACAGGAAAGAGACCTCGGGCCTGAGAAATCTGGGATGAGACACTTAGTAGACCTATTTTCTGGCACAGCTATAGACCACCACGTGGGAGTGTACGGTTTGGAGGTAAATTCACTTTCATGGCAGCGGGGGCTGGGAACACCATAAAGGTGATGCTGCCAGTCTCTGGTGCGGAGAGCTGCCAAGTGTTCTCCCTTGCCACCCCCTTGGGATTGCAGCATGTGGCAGAGGGAATGAGAAAGGAGGCGAGCGACAATCCAGGACTGAGTGACCCCAACATCCCTGAGGCAATGGATAGCTCAGTGGTTTGTGCATTGGCCTGCTAAACCCAGGGTTGTGAGTTCAATCCTTGTGGAGGCCAGTTGGGGCAGAAATTTGTCAGGGATGGTACTTGGTCCTGCTGTGAGGACAGGGGACTAGACTCAATGAACTTTCAAGGTCCCTTCCAGCTCTAGGAGATAGGCAATCTCCATTTTTGTGGTTGGATGGGGCTGAAAGGGTGAATGAAGAGCTTGTGCTGCAATTTCTTGGGTTGATCCTCTGCCAAAACACACACAACCCTCTCCCCACCACAAACATGGGGGAAAGCCCTCACCTCTGGGTCGCTGGTATCAAGCGGCTCCAAGACCATCTTGTTATGGGACGTCCACAGTTCAGCGCTGGGAAGCTCTCCATTGATACTGGGTAAGTGAGCCATGCTGTGGGCGGGGTGGGTTGCTTGGTTGGTATAACGTGGTCTGAAAACAAACGGCACGGGACACTTTGTAGAGCACAACAGCAGAGTTAAAAACAGCCAGCCAGCGGAGGCAAACCTCTGTAGCATTCCTGTTTTGTTTTGAAATAGATTCCTTCCCAGGCTGTGATCCGACATTCCACTTAGCAGCCTGCAGTGAGTCAAGTGCTGACTGTATAATATATAAGCCCCAGGGCCTGTTCCATATCCATGGAAAGAACTGATTTCAATGGGGTTTGACCCAACCTTGTAATGTATCAGAAAAGTAACCTTGATAGTCTGTAGCTGCAAAACCAATAAGGAGTCCAGTGGCACCGCAAAGACTAATAGATTTATTTGGGCATAAGCTTTCAAGGACAAAAACCCACTTCATCAGATGCAGATATTACACTCTGCATTAACTTTATAATGAAAACCCTACAATTCTTAAATGCCATTTAAAATCTAGTCCGGTTTTTTCTAAAGTGTGTCATTTCAGGACTATACCTGCCCCTGCCAATTATTGTGGTTCTACAATCACTTTGTTATTTTAGCTGTTTTTCTTTCCTTATTGCTGTGTGACAGATCCACCCATGCAAGAGGGGAACCCGTCAATCTGATTATGCAGCGGAAATAGCGAAACTGCATTTACCAGCACTCTGTGTGTGGACAAAGTCACAGCAAAGAGGGAAAAACATTATTTTTCCTCCAAACTCATAGTTCTAGAAATGTTAGTTGGTAAACTCATATTTGGACAGAATCATGATTTTTTTTTTAAATTACTGCTCTACCTAAAGGGACGGTGCTTGAAACATACAAGAGATATTAAATTCAGATCAATGTCTGATAAATGTCTTCAGCGCCCTTATTTACAAGTAGCATCTTGCACCCAGGAGTGGTCCTAGTTAAGACCACATACTCTCTCATATAAGCAAGGCACTGTTCAAATCAAATAAAGGTTGCAGAGCAGGTTGAAGTCCCAGAGTATGCTACGGTACACTAGATCCATGCCAAGCTTCATATTTACAGGAAGTGTGACAATCAGGTCTGACCAATACTATCCAAAAAGCTACGCATCCACTGATCAAAGTCCATCCATGTGCCTTCTGTGGAGATCAAAAGCTAAGAAGCATAAACTTTCAGAGTCATTAAGGGACAGAACAGCCTCTATCCTAGTCAGAAACAAAAAGCGCTTTTAAACATTAACTCCTCAAGGCTAGCGAACGGCCATGTACAGCTAATTAGGCAATCACATTTTATTTACCAGTGCCAAGCAGATTTCCAAAGGGACTTTAGCTGTTTGTTTGCCTGGCTTGGCAAAAGGCAGCTGGTTAGACCTTGCAATTCTACATTTATTTTCATCCCCCATGGATTTGCTGTCTCTTGGTAGCACTGTAAATTCTGCACCTCAGAAAAGTGGAATTGCAAAAATGGAGTCAGAGAGAATCAAATGTTGCTTAGGTTGGAAAAGTAGGATTTGCCATGGCAACCAGCCAGGCTGATATCCCAGCTCCTGCCAGACCAGAGCATCTTCATTCGTTAATAAGTAATAAGCTCTTCTATAGCATTCTTCACTGTATATCCCAAAGCGCTTTACACAAGATGGGGTGGACACATACTGTTCTCACCAAATCATCAATGGGGAAAGCAAGGCAAACTGCCACAAGTCACAAAGAGCAAGCGACAGAAATGGAACCCAGTGTATGGAATCGTGTCCCTCACTTCCAGGCCAAAGCCCCAACCACTGGACCGTGCTGTCCCTTAAATACTTTCACTTTATTCAGCGCTGTACAAGAAATGAAAGATACAGTCCCTGATCAAAGGATCATCTCAGACCCACCTGCCAAGAACTGGTGAATCTCACATATGGTAGACACCTTATACTTTAATAGCACTGTGTCATTCACCTTGTGCCCTTTAGCTATGATCTGCCTTCTACATGTTAGGTGGAAACAGCACAACCAGTAAAACAATTACGATGTTCCTACGCATCTGCAATAGGCCTCGGAGAAAAGCCTGCTTTGAACAGGAGCGTGCAGAAACCTTTCCCTCCCACTGCCAAAACCTGAGCTACCTTCAGCTGTTGTGACTGAAGAGAACATTTAGCCTGCACTTGAAACTCCCTTTCCAAGCCCCGTTCTTTAAAACAACCCCTAATCTTTGTGTCCTGCTGCAGAAGAGGGAGGGAATCACTTCCCCTCTCAACAGTGATTTTGCCCCTGCCGCTGTGACAATACTTCCAAGTGCAGTTCTGCCACGCCAGCCAGCGAGGTGCTGCTGGGGGCATAAGAGAGCCGGACAGGCACTCTCTGATCCTGGGGAGTCCCGAAATAGAAGACCCTGGCGCCAACTTCCTGTTGCTTCCCCCCAGGCGGCCAATGGAAAAAGCAGAGGCAGCTGCTGCTAAAGCCCAGCCCAGCCCAAATAAAGCCCATGCGGTTCAGGTAAAGGGGAGAGAGAGCCAGCGACCCGAGCCCCACGTGCACCTGGCGCCAATGCTGGCGGACGCTGCCCCCAGCACAGATTTACCCGGGTCCCCCTGCAGCTGGCCCAGGGATTCCCTAGGAGGCCAGCCTAGCCCCGCAGCCCCAGCTCTGGAAGGGACCGAGGGTCCCCGCGCGCCCTGCACTCACCAGGCTCCCCACGCGCCAGAGACGGCGGCAGCTCCGAACACACTGGCGGCTGGAGCCGCCCCAAGGCCCCGCGCTGGAGCGTTCAGACCCTCCCTCCCCGCGCTCCCAGCCAATCGCTCCATCCGGCCCGGCCGCCTCCTCCCCTCGCACGGGCCCAGCTTTCCCCAGAGCAGCACGTGCGTGGTTGCCAGGTGCCCCTGGCCCGGGCCACGTGTTGGGTGGCGATGGGCCCGGTGCCCAGCGGGCGGAGAATGAACCCGCCGCGGGGCCCCGTCAGCTCTCAGCATGCGGACAGCGACCCCAGCAGACAGCGGGGGGTAAATCCGCCCCTGGGAGCGGGCTGGAGAATGGGGAGCCCTGTCCCTCGGGGAGCCTGGCTAGAGTCCAGAGCCCTTTACCATCCGGGTCCTCACCGTGCATCTCTCCTCGGCCCCACCCTCCAGTAGGCACCTGCCTTAATGCAACTGGGAGCCACTGGGGAGTGTGTGTGACAGTGCCCCCCCCCCCATCTGTGCCAATACACAGATGCAAGGAGTCGTGGCTCTAGCAAAAACGGGCTAAGCAATTGCTTAGTCCCCACGCAGCTCAAGGGGTTCCCCCTATTTATTATTAGCATGTGAGGGGATGGGTATTCCTGCTTAGGGCTCTAATGGGCTAGTATTGGCACTCCCACATACAATCGTTGTTCTTTAGTTCAAGCTGCAGTTACACCTGCTTTACAGCTAGTTCAGTCCCCAGTGTGTAAGCCAAGAGGGCAGCCGTCATGCAACATTAAGGATGTGATTTTTAATTAATGAATCCTAGAAAAGCGGCTTCTGCCGCTGCCTGTGTGTCATGCATATCATCTCATGCATATCATCTCGCCTGGCAGAGGAGAGGAGAGGTGAGATCAGAGACACTACTGAAAGCAGTAAGAGCAGGCTCCCTCCTGTTTTCAATAATCATTAAAAAGTCAGGAGGAAAAACTGCCCCTGATGCTGAGAGACAGGGAGCTCAGCACTATTGGGTAGTCTTACCCCTGGTCATGAATAGACACTGATGCTAAGGACACATCTACACTGCAAGGCTATTTCGGGATACCCAAATATCCCAAAATAGCTACCCTGAGTCTTTTTAACACTTCTGCTCTTGCAAAATATAGCAGACCCACTATTTCGGCATCCCTGTAAACGGGATAAGGGATGTCTTGATATAGCGTTATTTCAAAATTTGGCGCTGTGTAGACGCACCAAATTTCGAAATAGCTTATTTTGAAAGAGAATCGAAATAAGATACATAATTTGCATAGCACAAATTGCGTATCTTATTTCGAGCTAAGGGTGCAATGTAGATGCACTCTAAATAGACACTGAAGATCAACCCCCAAATACAATGTGAACCCTCATTCTGGGCTACACACCTCAGGTGATCTCTGGAGGCATCTGTCCCTTTGTGATCCACTTGGGGAATTCGCTGTGACTCTGATCCCAGTACAAGAGTGAATTGAGCTGCATGTGCCCAGCATTGCAGCTTCCATTCGGGATGAAGCTGGGGCACTTGGCACATTTCCACAGCTGCATCGTTGAGACTTCTTTCATCCTGCTAGCCAAAATGACTGCTTCGGACAGGATACGGGGCAGAGATGCAACGGGTTAAATTCTACTCGCTGTAAATTGAGGAACAAGACATCGGAATAAATGATACCCAGTAAATTCCCCAGGAACTCAGGCCATGGAAAGATCAAACAAGCAAACCTGAATCACGCTCAGAGACAGTCACTGTCTCAAAAGCTTTTTGACAGTAAACCCAACGACTGCACTGTCGCTGCCCAGAAGCTGAGAGCAGAGACGCGCTGAAAGGCATAAGGCAGTGGTGAGTGCTACCCATATGAATCTAAGTTTAAATTCAGGAATTAAATGGGGGTTGGGAGGCAGTGACAAAAGTGGCTAGGACTTCAAAGGGGGATTTGCTTATAAATGGGAGAAAATCTGTCATACTAGATAATAAATTAGTACACTTTGAACTGAAAGATATATCATAAAAGGCACCTTGTTGAAACAGAATCAATTATAAAGCACCAGGTAATGGGATCACTGAGGGCTAGAATAAGGTACCAGTCAGTGCTTGTAAGTCTCGTCCTGCCAGCCTCTCTAGCAAGATGAAGGGCCATTCAGAACATATCAGGGGAGGCGTGGGCAGACATCTGCTGGCAAGAGAGGGTTTCTTTGCTAGCTTGCCCCTGACTGATTAATTTTCTGGGTAGTTTTTTCATGGGTTAGGATCCTCAGTAGGATCCACTGAAATTGGTGGCAAAACATCCACTGATTTCTAGGGGACCCAGACTTCACCCTTGTCTCTTAAGAGCAGTGACAACACCATGTGCCCATCCTCCATTTGGCCGTACTGAAAGGGTAGCTTCTGTGCCCAGTGTCAACACAGAGCCTAAATCTCTAGGGTCTTCAGGACCAGTTCAGTACCATCACCTCCTAACTGGAGCGTTGCCCACCCATAACCCTTACATAGAACTGTGCTGCTTCTTGGAGGGAAATAGCCATATGCAAAAGATTCTTTCTTCCTTTTTACTGTTAGAGGAGAAAAGCGTCCCGATGCGATTCTCCCTGGGAATTGGGAATAGTGCTTTCTAGGCATTTTAGAGTCTTTGCATCAAATGTTTCCTTACATTTGTCTGGATGGATTTCAAAGTTTCCATTTAGAATAGTGGGGCTCTGAGGCACTGCAGTGGCCGTTGAACTTAAGCTTGAACATCTTATTTTAACTGCTATATAAAGTCAGGCACCAGATACAGGGCTCTCTTAGGACCAGAGTCAGCCCTCTGATATTCATACAGAACTCTACTCCTAGTTGTGGCACTGTCTTGCTGGGATCTTGGCTAAGGTACTTAAATGCCTTCTGCCTCACTCTTCCTATCAGTCATGTAGGTCTACCTTTGTAAGTGTTGTCGTAAGCCTCAGATGAAAAGCTCTAGAGGAGCACTGTCAGTACTAAGGGTCGGATACTCCCCAGATTCATGGTCTTATGGATTTTTGGGGCACTGTTGTTGGCAAAGATTCTCACCTCAAACTGACTGCTTAGGAACTGCTAGTGATGCAAATAATAGCAGAAGTGTGTTTCTATAGTTTCAGGAGCCCAGATCACAGATGGTGATGGAGAACGTCTCCTCCTCTTCGCTGTTCTCAACCAGCTTCACCACTCAGCCCGAAAACTCCACTGCATCCAATTACTTCTCTGGCCTCCAAAAGAGCATTCATGTCCTTTCCATGGTGGTCTACAGCATTGCATGTCTGCTGGGGGTGACGGGCAATGGTCTTGTCATTTGGATCGCTGGCTTCAAGATGAAGAAAACTGTAAATGCCGTGTGGTTTCTAAACCTGGCTGTTGCTGATTTCATCTTCACTTTTTTCCTGCCCTTCAGCATCACGTACACTGCCCTGGGCTTTCACTGGCCATTTGGGAAGGTCCTGTGCAAACTGAACAGCACTATTGCCTTCCTCAACATGTTTGCTAGCGTCTTCCTCCTAACAGTGATCAGCATAGACCGGTGCATTTCAGTGATCTGTCCTGTGTGGTCTCATAACCACCGGACACCCAAGTTGGCTTCCAACATTGCCCTGGTCACTTGGCTTCTAGCCTTCGCCATCAGCTTTCCATATCTCGTTTTTCGAGACACGGCTACTAATTCAAAAAACGTCACCAGCTGTTACAATAACTTTGCCCTGTCTGACAACTATAAAGCTGAGGCATCCCGTCAGCTGTGGAGAATGAGGCACAAAACTATGATCATAACCAGATTTGTATGTGGGTTTCTCATTCCCTTCACTGTGATCCTCATCTGCTACAGCATCATTGGTGTCAGGATGAAAAGGAACCATCTAGCCAAGTCGACTAAGCCTTTCAGGATTCTTGTTGCAGTCACCGTGTCATTCTTCCTTTGTTATTTCCCATACCATGTCTTCTGCTTGCTAGAAATATCTAAAATCTCTTCCAACCAGGAGCTGAAAATGGCCCTTTACATAGGGATCCCCTTGGTTTCCAGTCTTGCTTTCTTCAATAGCTGTATCAACCCCATCCTCTATGTCTTTATGGGGCAGGACTTCAAGGAGAAGTTCCGACAGTCCATCCTCTCAGCCTTTGAGGGGGCCTTCAGTGAGGACTCTATCTTGACCTCTCTGGCCAGCAAGAGAAAATCCAGAGCCACTTCTGAAGTAGAAGTTCCAGGGCTTTAATCAGTAGCTAATGACCCAAATTTTAGTGGTAAATTACAGGAGACCTAGCTCTGTCCTTTGCCTCACCAATGCAGTTCCAATGGATTTCAATCAGAGTTGTGTTTGTGTCACTGAAAGCAGAAATGATCTCTGGATAGCAAAGAAGCATGGCTTGCTGCAGTCTGGAAGTGCAAAACCTAGGGGGATTTACACACCAAAGAGGTGAAACAGCTGGATGGAGCATGAAAAGCAACTGACATAAAGTGGCAACCCACTGCCATGGACACTTTCCACCAGGGGTGGGCAATAATTTTAGAAAGGGGGCCACTTGACAAATTTCTGAAGTTGCCCCAGACTGCCCTGGAAGGGGCAGGGCCAGGATGGTTGACAGGCTGCAGCTGGCCCCCGGAGGCTCTGTTGCTCACCCCTGCCTTACACTCTCCTATTGGTTGCTTTTCCTACTATTTCCCCCTTTTTCATTTTCTTCAGTGTGTAAGTCACACTTATTTTGACACACCTACAGAGCGTGTGCAAGTTACTGTTACAGCGCGAGTTACTGTTTTTGCCACTTCTGCTCATTTTTAACTGGAAACATAAGCACTGAATGTGGTCCAGAGAATTTAATGCCTGCCATGTTATACTCAGTCAGCCTGCACCTGGCCCGTTATTATAGATAAAGCTTGTCTCTTTTATTGCCCTGCCTTCACTGATTACCTGCAGCAGCATTCCCTTTGAAAAAAATCCAATATTTGCTTAGCAAAATATGTTCCACAATATCCATGATTAAAAGATTAAGATACAATTTCAGGTTTCCTTTATCTGCAGTCAAACCTTACCACTATTCCAGTGGTCCCCAACCATTTAAGGTTGACAGGCGCCAGGGGGCATGGCCGTTTGCCCGCCGGGCGCCAGAGGGCGGGGACACTTGCACGCCCAGGGGTGGGGCCCCCCATAGCC